GCCGGGTGTTGTGGTGGGCACCTGTGGTCCCAGCTACTTGGGAGGCTGAGGCAGATGACTCGCTTGAGTCCAGGAGAGGTTGCTGTGAGCTGAGATGTCACGGCACTCTACCCAGGGGGATAGCTTGAAGCTCCTGTCTCCAAAAAAAAAAAAAAGAATGTCACAAAAATGCTTAAAGATCACTAATTAAATTATTTTCAAAATAAGTTCCAAACACAGTAAGTGTATTCTTTTTTTTACTCTTTCTTTTTGATCAACGTAAGTATGCTATGGAAGTTTAACTACAGGTTCAAATGTTCTGTGAGATAGAAAAGGTTGAAAAACACTGGGCTAGATGGCCATCTCTGAACCATGACACCCAGGCCACCTGCATGCAGACAGCTGAGCTGAAGATCCAAGATCCATCCACAGGGAACCAATCCACAGGCTGGCTGGGCCCATTAGAATGAAAGGAGACCAGCACTATAATACATCACAACCCTTTAAGGCAGGTATGGCTACAGGCCAGGTGGGCATCAGAGCAAACTAAAGTCCAAGTTATGAGGAAGCAGGAAAAATGGGTGAGTAAAGGAAGCTGATTTGCAAAGACAAGACCAGAGCAGCTGTGAGTGCCCGTCCCACCAGAAGGGGCCCGGTAGCAGCCCTGAACGTCCCCTCTCCCATTCATGCCTTCCTTTCTTGCAAGTCCAGGAGGAGACTTCCTTTTCCTTGTAGTGCCAATCCCCTGCTCTGTGGGTAAAATAACACTGTGCTCTCGCCACTCCATTTTGCGCTGCTTACGTTTCTACTAAAGTCCAGAAGATGACCTGGGTGCCCCCACCTAATGAGAGAACAATGCAGGAGGTGCCTATAGCCTGGGAGTCTAAGGAAGGTGGAGAATAAGATGTCCCCAGTGACAGGCAGTCCTGAGGCTGACTCTGTGATATCACTGACATCTCACGGTCCCACGCCCATGTGGGTTGCACGTCACCTGATTTAATATTTTTTAAGGGCTGCTCTTAAATTTATGACTATCATTTGTGTTGGGCTTTCATGAACCTGAAATGCAAAGTTGTTCTTTTTATATGTTTATACAAAAAACAAAATGCCTATTACCCCTGCCTTCAATTGGCTCTGACCCTTCACTTCCCAAGCCATTACTTCTTCCCTCCCATGCTCATAGTTTTGTGGGCTGGTGATTTTAGAATGAACAGTAAAGTGAAATCTCATTAATTCTGATGATCTAGGGAGAATTTCAGCATGAAATAGTGAAATGACAAGTGTATTTTAACAGAAAGGCAATTATAGAACCATCAAACAAAGGGAGAACCTCAAACCAACTATTAGCAAAATATTTCTCCAAAAAGAGGTCTACTTGCCTAGGTACAGAGGCTCACACTTGTAATCCTAGCACTCTGAGCAAGGGCGAGACCCCATCTCTACTAAAAATAGAAAAAGTAGCAGGGTGTAGTGGCATACGCCTATAGTCTCAGCTACTCATGAGGCTGAAGCAAGGGGACACCTAAGCCCAGGAGTTTAAGGTTACTGTGAGCTATGATGCTGGCTCTGTCTCAAAATTCAAAACAAAAAAGAGAGAGAGGTCTACCTGAAAATATTCGTTCTATACAAAGGTACCTACTGGCTTAAAAAATGAACAAATCACTCAGCAATAACAAGCCACAAACCACTGATACACACATTGACTTGGATGAATCTCACAGGCATTACAACTGAGTGACAGAAGTCAGTCTCAAAAGGCTAACCACTGTAAGAGTCCATTTATATAATATTCTAAAAAAGGCAAAACCATAGTGATGAAACAAACCAGTGACTGCCAGGGATAAGGTGTAGGGTTTTGGGGGGTGGGAGGGAGTAGAGTGATGAAGCTATTTTTGTTTTAATTATAGTTGTAGTTATACGAACCTATACATGAGTTAAAATTCACAGAACTTTCTAGCACCCCAAGAGTCAGTTTCACTCTATGATAATTTTTTTAAGCAAGATTTAAAGTCACTGGACACATACAGGAATGTGCCGAGATGCTTAGAAACAATGGATATTTTTCAGTAGTTAATATCTGGTCCTTGTGATCCTGTTTATGCAATGTATTTGTACATTTTGTTTTCCTCACAGGATGGAATTATAAACTTCAGCCTAGCCCAAGTTAAATTAACAGATATTCTGAATCATGTGGATCTAAATTTATGAAAAGAAGTTGTCCTTTCATAAGAAAAGTGGAGAAGCATGTCATGTACTGTGGCCATCCTAAACACCAACTATTACATAACACTGTGACAGGCACCAAAACCAGAGCCAAGACTCCAGAATCATTAACTGTTCTGAACCTCTGGATTATAAACCCCATACAGTCAATTAAACCACATGAATTCACCTGTGAATGCTCATAAATTATATATGCGAAAGAATGAAGTATTATAAAATATATGTAATCACCATCTAAATTAGTTTTATTTACTTTTCTTGCATGACACTAATAACAAGCATTTTTGTAAGTTTATCAAAATAAATTCCTCTCTCAACTTATAGAAACAGATGGGAAGGCTAGGGATGAGATTCTATGATCTACACCTGATCAGAATCTCTTTTAGGTAATGGTGGTAGAATTAAGTGGACATGCAGACCCCCATATATAATAATGATTTTAAAATAAATTAGAAAAAGGTTTAAGGACACTGCAAGGCATCCAAAAGCAGATAGAAAGTAGAGGAAAATTTAATTTCAGAAAGTTGCAACTGGAATAGGTAAAATACTTGAGTTTGCAGTTTACCAGCTGCAGGGTGTCATTCTACCCCTCAAGGCCACAGGAAACATGGGTGTGAAAAACCACAGCCTTACCAGCTAAATGTGTCAGATACAGAATTCAGCACTGGGAAAGAAGCAGAAATTTAAAGAGGAAAGTCCTGGCAGCATGCGAATGACAGAACGGGGAGACACAAATTCAGAGCAGAATTTAGTTTCCTAAATCCCCGGCTTATAGCCAATCTACATGAGTGAAGGAGACTCCAAGGGGACCCTGCAAAAAAGAAATCAGAGACCAGAGAGATATCCACTCTGAGAGATGGTAATACACAGGATCAGATCTGTAGATTTAACACTTTCCTTAATCAAAGATATTCCTCGATTTGGGCCATTCTAGTGGTAAAAAGCAAAAGGTTTAAGGGGTCAGAGTACAGAGATCAAAACTGGCAGAAGCAAGGAAAGCATAGGGAGTGGGTAAGCTACATCCATGCCCAAACCTCTGACCACCAATTCTGCAGACACAGGACCATCTGCAGTTTTGAATACAGGCAAGTTAAATGCCTACAAGAGCAAAAGTCCAAAAATCCTCAGAAAACACAAATTCAAACAATATTCAACAGCCATACATTTGCAGCACATAGTTTTTGATCAAAAATCACTAAACAAGTGAACAAACAGGAAGGTATGACCCATACTCAGAAAAGAAAAGGGGATAGATATAACTGACTTTAAATAGGCCCAGATATTATAATAGCAAATAAGAACTTCAGTCTTTTCAAACGTGCTCAAAGAATTAAAGAAAAATATGTGCTCAATGAATAAACAGATAGAGAATCTCAACAAAGAAATGAAAACCATACACACAATAGAAATTCTACAGTCAGGCCAGGTATGGCAGCTCACACCTGTAATCCTAGCCCTCTGGGAGAGCAAGACAGGTGGATTGCTTAAGCTGGAGAGTAAAAGAGACAGAGAGAGAGAGGGAGAGGGTCAGTGAGACCTATCTCTACTAAAAATAGAAAAATTAGCCAGGTCTTGTGGCAAGCACCTATTGTCCCAGCTACAAGAAAGGGTAAGGTAAGAAGATCTCTTGAGCCTAAGCATTTCAGGTGCGCTATGACACCACTCTACCCAGGGCAACAGAGTGAAACTCAGTCAAAAAGAAAAAAGAAATTCTATAGCCAAAAAGTACAATAAAATATATTTCCAGTGAGTTCACCAACACATTATAGGCTCAGAGCCCATACCCAAGTGGTTAAGGCATTGGCCACGTGCACCTGGGCTGGGCTGGTGGGTTCAAACCCATCCAGGGGCTGCTAAACAACAATGACAACAATAACAACAACAACAACAAAAAAACAGCTGGGCATTGCGGTGGGTGCCTGTAGTCCCAGCTACTGGAAGGCTGAGCCAAGAGAATCACTTAAGCCCAAGAGCTTGGGATTGCTGTGAGCTGTGACGCCATAGCACCTACCAAGGGCGACATAGTGAGACTCACAAAAAACACACACATATGCAGTGCCTGTGGTTCAGTGGGTAAGGCACCAGCCCCATATACCAAGGGTACCAGGTTCAAATCTGGCCCCTGCCAAACTGCAACAAAAAATAGCCAGGTGTTGTGGTGGGCACCTATAGTCCCAGCTACTCAGAAGGCTGAGGCAAGAGAATCCTCTAAGCCCAGGAGTTGGAGGTTGCTGGGAGCTGTGATGCCATGGCACTCTACCGAGGGCAATAAAGTCAGACTCCATCTCTTAAAAAAAAAGTAAAATAAAAATTTTTTTAAAACACATTATAAATGATAGGTGAACCAGAAAGAAGATCAAGAGAGATGACCTAACCAAAGGAGAGAGAAAAACGTTTAAAAAAAATAAAATTTCAGAAACCTGTAAGATAATACAAAGCACTCAACAGAAACAAAACTAGAATCCCAGAAAAAAAAGCGAGCAAGCGCCATAAAAAAAATTTTTAAAAAATAGTGTCCAAAACCTTTCCAAATTTGGTAGGAAACGATAATTTATAGATTCAAGAAGCTTAACAAATCCCCCAAAGGATAAACAAAAACAAAAACCACTCCTTCCCTGCTATGGTTTAAATGTATACCTCTTCCAAAATTCATGTTGAAAACTGAAAAATTACACCAGCTACCCAGGAGGCTAAAGCAATATTATCATTTGAGCTCAGATATTAGAAGCCAGCCTGACAACAGAGCAAGATCATGTCCCTTTTACTTTTTTTCTTTTTTTGACAGATTCTCACTATGTCGCCCTAGGTAGAGTGCCATAGCCTCACAGCTCACAGCAACCTCAAACTCTTAGGCTTAAGTGATTCTCTTGCCTCAGCCTCCCACGTAGGTGGGACTGCAGGTGCCCACCACACTGCCCAGCTATTTTTTTGTTGTAGTTGTTATTATTATTATTTGGCAAGCCCAGACTGGATTTGAACCTGCCAGCTCTGATGTATGTGGCTGGCACCCTAGCCGCTGAGCTATAAGCACCGAGCCCCCTTTTTTTTTTTTTTTTTTTGAGACAGAGTCTCAGTCTGTTGCCCAGGCTAGAGTGTCATGGCATCATAATTCACATCAATGTCAAACTCCTGGGCTCAAACCATCCTCCTGCCTCAGCCTCCTGAGTAGCTGGGACTACAGGTGCCTGCTACAGTGCCTGGCTAAATTTTCTATATTTAGTAGTGACAGGGTCTCACTCTTGCTCAGGCTCATCTCAAACTCCTGAGCTCAAGCAATCCAGCCGACTCGGCCTCCCAGAGTACAGGGATTACAGGTGTGACTGGCCTTACATCATGTCTCTTAAAAAAGGAAAAATTAAAGAAAGCAAATTTTTAAAAGGGACCAATCCCTTCAGTAAAATGGTACTAGTTCCACATTTATGCTGGTCACTGACCCTACAGTCACAATCTTTTAACCTAATACCATTATTGCAGGCCACCCCCCCCACCCCCACCCCCGTCTTCTGAGGTAATGTCTATAAAGCTTGGCACCCAGGGGGCTTTCGCTCCACATGTCAGCTATTAGCAGTGGTATTTTTCCTGACAGCTAATTGGTAACATTAAAAGAAAATAATGAAAAAGTGTTGTGTTTGCAAAGTCAGTTTACACCCTTCACTGCAACAAGTTTTTAAAGGGGGACACATGGCCTGGGAATCAAAAGGACATGCTTTTCACCCTGTTTGTCAGTGAGATGAGAAGTACAGTGAACATGAAACCCACACCTGCGGTTTATTTAAACCAGAGCTTAATTAGGGAGCCTTCCTATGCCAGAAGAGTCCCACCATGTAACACCTGCGCTAAGGGGTCCCTCGGAGCCCGGCCCACATCAAGAGAGCCTTCCTTCCCCCCAGTCTGCGGGGGGTGCTGGTGTGTCCCTCACCTTTCATTTTGGTTGTATAAAATCCAACAGCTGCTCCGTGTCTCCACAGAATCTTAGCTTGCTCCTTCACAGAGTGAGGCAGGAAAAACATGTCATCATCATCCAAACTTCTCTCCGATCTTCCAAAAATAATGACATTCAGAACGAAAAGCACAATCCTTTCCCCAAATGACTGAACCTTGGGGGAGGGGGGCGGAGAACAACAATCACGTGAGACCAGAGAGGAAAATCAGACACAATAAATTTTGTGCTTGGATTCAAACCCAGGCGTTGTCTGGGCCAGGTGTGTGCTACGCCATCCTAGGCTACGTTGTGTGCTCAGGAGCCAACATGCGAATCATGGTGCCTCACAGAGGTTTCCCCTCCACTGACCTTGCTCACCAGCGAGGCCTCAAGAATGAGGAATGTTGCCAAAGGAGACTGTGGGTCCCCAGGGCCATGGATGTGGAATGTAAGCCCACGGAGCACAGTCACACACTAACAAAACAGGAAGTTAATGGCTGGAGGGCTGGGACAAACCGTTTCTAGCACATTCTGGCTAGGCAGTCCCGAAATAAACCCTATCTGTCGTTTTGACAACAGCAGAGTACAGGCCCCAGATTTCTGGCCTTTAGAAAAAGGACGAACAACTGAGGGGATCAATCGCTACACCAAAAGCCATTGATTTTCAATGGCTTGTGACAGATTTGGAACCTACACTGGAGTCCCAATCCCAGAGAATTACTAGGACTCAATACCCACCCTGTTCTAAGGCTGGACAGTAGAACCTTCTTTGGCCCATATCAACATCATCATAAGTGAGGAAATTAAATGGTGGTCAGAGTCAGGCCCATGCAGAGTTAAAAACTTTCTCCCTCACAAACCAAAATGACTTCATGCTTTCTACCTGTTAAAGTTCTCTACATTTGTGTAGCCCACAGATGGTAAATATGAGGCAGAAAACCAGGTCTCCCACTCCTGGTCCTCCCAGCAGTCTTAGCTATCTGGCTAAGCCTGAACATGGTCTCAGAACTCTCCTATAGGCAGCCACAAGCAACTGCTAACATGTAGCACAGGAGATGGCCCGGCATGGTGGCTCATGCCTGTAATCCAAACACTCTGGGAAGCTGAAGCAGGTAGATGGCCTGAGCTTAGGAGTTGGAGACCAGCCTGAGCCAGAGCAAGACCTTGTCCCTAAAAACAGCCAGGTGTTGTGGCGGGTGCCTATAGTCCCAGCTACTCCAGAGGCTGAAGCAAGAGAATTGCTTGAGCCCAACAGTTTGAGGTTGCTGTGAGCTGTGATGCTACAGCACTCTACCAAGGGCGACATAGTGAGACTCTGTCTCAAAGTAAAAAAAGTAGCACAGGAGATGAAACCCATCAGCCATTTACAAAGTGACAGTACCGTGCACTATTTCCCATGGGAGTTTACTCCAACCCACTGCCACATGACAGCCTATGTGTGGGTGTGTTGTGCATCCCCTCCAGATCACAATGCCATGAACTGGTCTGTGACTTCTACCAGGGGACTGCCTTTTGCTTCTCAACACCCACCCAGGGAGTCCTGGTTCATAAGTGAGGAAACTGAAGGTCAAAGACTGAGGTAGGTGACTGCATTTACTGATCTCCCTGACTCCTTTCAAAGAGGACTTGAGGCAGCTAGACAAGGGCTCTGTCAGAGGCAAGCTCCAAACAACAGGCCACGGCTGCTGTGTCCAGCCTTTTCTCCATCTTCATTTGGCCGAGGTGAAAATATGGGAAAGAGGAAATCTAATACAAGTATTAATGCTGGGGGTTATATTGAATACTTGACCCATCACAATCATGGCATATGGTTGTGGGTTCTCAGCCTGGATTTGCTGGGAGATCTTCAGCAACTCACAACCTCTTTGAGCCTCAGTCTCCTCCATTGGTTGAGGGAGAATATCACTTAAGTGGCAGGATACCTGCCTGTTTTTCAAAAGATCTGATCACAAAAATAAGTCAGCATGGAGCACCCCAGCAAATGCACAAAGTGTTTAGTGCCCATAAACTTATGCATTGGCCCGAATGTAAAATATTTCCCCTTCATCTGGAGCTAAATCTTAGATGAGAAAAAAGATTTGGGGAAACCATACCAGCTCAGCTCTGAGAAACTGCCACATTTTATATCTCAGACAGTGGCAGCCAAATCAGGTTCCGATGTTAAGAATAACTAGCTGGTCACAAAACCAGACTGGTGTAATGTGGGAGGTTATATTTTTCAACTTATAAAACTAAAACATTCAGAGGAAAGCCAGAAGAGAAAAGCAGGCTGCATCTGGCAGAAGGGAAACATCCAATCAAAAGCTGGCAAGAGAAAAAGGAAAAAAAGAAAATGCACTTAATTTGTCCAATTTCATTACAGAGGAAAAAATGTGTGACATGTGATTCTGACTTAGAAACGTTTCTGAAAACACAAACCTAAAATCCAGTTCTAATCCCTCATTAGGACAACTAATTATGTTAACAGAAAGAGCATTTAAAGTTTTTCTTTTTTTTTCCTTTTTTGGTGGTGGTAATTTGTGAAGAAGAGCTGGCTAAGAAACAAACTAATTAAAAGGAAAAGAAAGGGGCAGTGTCTATGGCTCAGTAAGTAGGGTGCCAGCCCCATATACTAAGGATGGCAGGTTCAAACCCAGCCCCAGCCAAACTGCAACAAAAAATAGCCGGGCATTGTGGCGGGTGCCTGTAGTCCCAGCTATTCAGGAGGCTGAGGCAAGAGAATCACCTAAGCCCAAGAGCTGGAGGTTGCTGTGAGCTGTGATGACACAGCACTGCACCAAGGGCGACAAAGTAAGACTCTGTCTCTTAAAAAAAAAAAAAAAAAGGAAAAGAGAAATGAAGTCTAGACCCAAAATTCTACATACAGAGAGGGGAAATACCTCCATGCATAGCTGGGTTAGGATAGATGTTTACAGAATGGTTCATTAAATGGAAATCAAATCTAAAGTTCTTTCTGTTCACAACACAGACATTTTCAGGAAATGTATAGGGTTTCCTCATCTAAACTTAGAAGACATAATAAATGAAAAGAAGTAGCCACTCTCAGTTTGAAAAATTAAAAGAGCCAATCACCTTCCTGGCCCAATGGTGGCACAGGACCTAGGACAGCAACACAAATCATGCTCACCTTCCAAACCTCTAGCCATCAGTAACTCACTAGAAGAAAACACTTTTTTTTTTTTTGGAGAGTCTCACTATGTCACCCTGGGTAGAGTACTGTGGCATCATAGCTCACACCAACCTCCAACTCTTGGGCTTAAGTGATTTTCTTGCCTCAGCCTCCCAAATAGCTGGGACTACAGGTACCTGCTACAATGCCCGGCTATTTTTTGGAGTTTTCATTGTTGTTTAGCAGGCCAGGGCCGGGCTTGACCCCACCAGCCTCGGTGCTTATGGCTGGCACCCTACTCACTGAGCTATGGGCGCCGAGCCAAGAAAACACTTTTCAAAATAACATCCACTGAGTCCATTAAATCCATACCTACATAAGACAAACCACAGAATGGGGGAAAAAAATTCCAAATCATCTCTGTGATAAGGGACTTGCATCCAGAATGCTGTATATGAAAAACTCTTATAATAGTGAAAAGTCAAATAACTCAATTAAAAAGTGGGCCAAGGATTGTGAGAGACATTTTCCAAAGAGGGTATACAACTGGCCAATAAGCACATGAAAAGATGCTCAACATGCTTAGCCATCAGAGAAAGGCAAACCAAAATCACAATCAGATACGATTTCGTACCTACCAGGATGGACAACAGCAAAAAATACAGACAATATTAAGTGTTGATGAGGATATGGAGAGACTGAAGCCCTCAGACTCTGCCAGTGAGACTGTAGAATGGTGTATATACCCAAAAGCACCAAAAGTGTAGGTCCCCACAAAAACTGGTACACAAATGCTTATAGAAATATTTTTTCTTTTTTTTTTTTGATTTCTTTTAGAATGGGAGGACTGTCCCAAGGCATAGAAGTATTTTTCATAATAATCAGAAACTGGAAACAACTCAAATGTCCATAAAATAATGGAGAATATAAAAAAAATGTGGCCTGCCCGCACAACGGGCTTTTATTCAGCCAAGAAAAGGAATGAAATTCTAATACATGTTACAAGATGGATGAACCTTGAAAACATTATGCTAAGTGAAAGAGGCTAGTTAAAAAATAAAACCACACATTACATGATTCCATTTACATGAAATGACCAGAATAGGCAATGTCCATAGAGACAGAAAGTAGATCCTTGGTTGCCAAGGGCTGGAAAAAGAAGAGAATAAGTGGTGACTGCTGATAGGTGTGGGGGCTTCTTTTTGGAGTGATGAAATATTATGGAATTCATAGTGGTAATTTCGTGAATATACTAAAGGTTACTGAATTTTGTATTTTAAGAGTGAAGCTCATGGTATATGAATTTTATGTTGATGAAGCTGTTTTGTTTATGGAGAGGGGCAAGCCCAGAACTAAATTTTTTAATTGTACAGCAAGAAAAAAAATAAATTATCAACTTATTCTCTGGACTGAACCTTAAAGAATACTGACGTTTCATTCAGCAGTTATAGGATCCCATGAGGGGACAGAATGACATTCCAGACAACTATGGACAGATCCATGATTTTCAAGACTGCAAAGAGGCACTGCCATCTTTCTTTATGCCTATAGAATTAAGATAAATACACTAACCAAATCAAAATAGACAGAAGTGAGGAATACAGCCCACACCCTCGCCTGGTTACTATGTTCCTCCTCAGCCTCTATCCCACACCCAAAGTTCAGCAGAGAGGACTTTGCCTCTGGGCCCCTGAGGAGCTGCTGGAGTGCCGGCCTTCACATTTGCAATCCCAGGTCTCTACTTTACAGCTGCTCTATAGAGCCACAGCTCTTCAAAGATCACCAGGTCTGGTGTTAGAGATACAGTGTTTTGTACCCAGCTAAATCACTGACTGGCTGTGTGACTCAGCCTCAATGTCTTCATCGGCAAAACAAATACCATGGCAATTCCAAAGTTAGATCATCCCTATAGAGTCTCAGCTAATGCATAGGGTAGTATCTGACACAATTCTCACAGTAATGCCAGCAAACATTGTCTGAACACCCTACACAGGACTGTCTCACCAAACAGAGAGACAGTGCAGATTAAAGTTTTAAAACCTAGACATGAGGAGCCCCTCAGGAAAGTAAAATAGACCTACTCCTATCAGGTATCTGTTGTAGACAGCCTTTTATTACTGTTTTCCCTGCTGGCAGGGTGTTAGGGATAGAATCGTGTCCCTTGCCCCCCAAAAAGATGCTGAAGTCCTAACCCAGTCATGATCCTACTTGGAAATCAGGTCTTTGCAGATGATGAGGCCAAGATGAGGGGATCACCCTAATCTATTATGCCTATCGTTATAAAAAGAGAGGACTTCAACAGAAACAGACAGACAAAGAAAGGGAGTGATATGAAGGTGCAGGGAGAAACCACCTACAAACCAAGGAACCCCCAGGCTGCTAGAAAGCAGGAGAGAGGCCTGGAACAGAGATTCTGTCGTACAGCCCTCAAAAGAAAGCAATTCTGTGGATACTTTTGATTTCCGACTTCCAGCCTCTAGGACTGTGAAACAGTCAATTTCTGTTTCCTAAGCCCCCCAGTTTGTGGTACTTGGTTACCTTGGCCCTAAGAAACAGATATACAAAGGTAAACTGACTTAAATTACTAATATGATACTAAGTACCATGATTTTTCAAACATCTTTTGCAACGTTGGTTTAAAATTCTATCAGCTCACCTTCAGCAGCCCTTCTCTTGCAGGATCAGAGGTTCTCAGTACCTCTTCCGTGAACCACCAGGATTTCTTTACATAAACAGCTACAACTAAGGAAAAGGCAGGAGAAAATGATGAGAACATGGCAAGCAGCCAGCAGAGGGCCAGTCTGAACCTCTGACAAGGTACATAGGAAAGATTATTCATGGGTAACACAGGTGACTTTTTTTTTTTTTTTTTTTTTTGCAATTTGTGGCCAAGGCTGGGTTTGAACCCGCCACCTCTGGCATTATGGGGCCGGTGACCCACTCCTTTGAGCCACAGGCACCGCCCCAGGTGCCATTTTTAGAGCTGACCCAGGACAAAGAGAAACTACTCTCACCAGAAGGGGACTTTGATAGGGGTCATTGGTGGCCTCTCATTGACTCCAAAAAGGATATACTCAATCTTGCTAGGCAAAACAGGATACGCACCACTACAGACAAATTCAACAGGAAAAAATCACCTTCTTTTCAAGTTCCAGATATTTATCAAATTCCCACCATGTACCATAAGTCAGAACTCACCAAATTTAGTAAAACAACATTATCTAAAACCAAGCTATGAGTGCATTAACCAAGTATTCCACATTAACTCTGTACAGCCAGCCTCTCCTCTCCAGAGACCCACAGCATCTAACCCGCTGTGTCAGTTTCCTATCAGTGAACTGTATCGTCTCTGACAATGGTTCCAAAATTGACAGAGCCAGCTGGGAGAGGAGGCCAATTAAATGCTTGATACCTGCCTCCATTTATTCAGTTTAATTCATTTCCAAAATGGCACCTAGTAGAACTTACAGGAGCTTTATAAAGCCATAAGTATTATTTTCCTGCTTAACAAGGTGAATCAATAAAGAATGTTCAATTTACTAATCCAGTGTATTCCTATAATACAGATGTTCAATTTACTAACACAGTTTCAAACAAAAAACATATTAGGATTTAGTGTTTATGTGGTATGCTGAATGCACCACAGAGCAATCATTAGTTACACACACAAACTGTCACAAAATAGACTGAACTGCTGGGTGTCTTCTCAAAGTCTGTGCAGCACATATAACACAAGACAACAATGGCAAAGCCCAATCAAATTTACTGGTTTAAAATAAACTGCCCACAAAATCAACTCCTGAAAAACAAAAAACAAAATCAGCCTTCTTGAGAGCAGGAGCTTTTATTTTTATTTTTATTTATTTATTTATTTATTTATTTTTTGAGACAGGGTTTCACTATGTCACCCTCGGCAGAATGCCATGGCGTCACAGCTCACAGCAACCTCAAACTCTTGGGCTCAAGCAATTCTCCTGCCTCAGCCTCCCAAGCAGGTGGGACTACAGGTGCCCGCCACAACACCTGGCTATGTTTTGGTTGCAGTTATCGTTGTTTAGCAGGCCTGGGCTGGGCTCGAATCCACAAGCCTCAGCATATTTGTGTGGCCCACGCCCTACTCACTGAGCTACGGGCACCAAGCCAAGAGCAGGAGCTTTTAATCAATAAAGTATAATACTGTTTCCTCCTAGTCCAGAGGAAATAGGAAGGGGAAATGGTGGCAGAGCACTTGCAGAGAGGCTGTCCCCAGCTCAATAAGGACAAATGATGGCTCCTGGAGGACTGACAGATGCCACAGAGCCAGCTGCAAGCCATCACTGCTGAGACCCTGAAGCCAGCAAACCTGAAAAGTTAGAAAATGGAAACCATAATATACATGTTTTTAAGAAGGAAAAATACAACCCTGATTGATATCCTTTGGCCCTTCATCACCCAGGGGCTGAGAAGAGCCTGGACACCCACAGAGGGCTGTGCCGAGAGCAATCAACAGGGTGCTACGAAGAATCAGCCTCACTGAGCCAATTTAATTTCCCTGTCCCCTAGAGTGACAGGTGACATGGACCACCCAGAAGATGTTAGTAATGGATTTCATCCTATGCCAAGGTTTCTTAAACAAGTTAAGACAGTGAAGTCCCCAAGGCTAACTCCCAGTGGCCTGGATTCATCTGAGGCTCAGCGGGACCAGCTGAAGTCAGCGTGACCATGCTGTCCTAGGGATCCAGGGCTGATGATTAAGCCTCCATCCTTGCCCCTGGGGGTTGGGAGCCTGCAGAGAAAGGAAGGGAGAGGCAAACAAGCCACCCCAATTCAGGGCAGGGCGTGATAGGTGCTGGCATCCAGTGTCATGAAGACCCAGAGGAGGGGGGTGACTCTGCTGGGAGGAATTGGGAAAGCATCCCCAGAGAGCTCCGCTGGCTATGGATTGCTCGGTTAGGTTTCAACAGGCACAGATGGTAGGCAAGGCCATTACAAGCAGGGGTCACCTGTGAGCAGAGGGCTCAGTGCCCTGCAAGTCCAGGGCCACGTTGAGGGCACCCCAAGTGCAGGGGTAGCTGGGTGAGGGCTGGACAAGGGGAGACAGGGCTGAAAACGGCATCTCAGCAAGACATTAGGTTCGTTCCCTCACAAGCCTCTCATGGACTTCAGCACCCACAGGGAGCGAGGTGGCATGGGCATTTTAGGCGTGGCCTACATACTGTGCCTGATGTAGGAAAAGGAATTTGGACTTCACAGTCAGACAGCACTCAAATTCTGCTGCCTCCAGTGACTAGCTGCATGGCCTTGACCTAGACTCTCCCCAGCTTTGATTCACCCACCTGTCAAACAAAGACCACAAGATCCTCTTCTCTGGTTATTATGCAGGTGAGGTGACCTCACCAAACTGCTTTTCCTAAGGTATTTGAAACTTTCCAGTATTTGAAGTTTCTAGAAACTTCCTCCACCGGTTTCAAGCATTGCTTAGAGATTACAAAGAAGCATGACAAGGCTTTGTTATTCCCATTGTTGGTGAGGCCGTGGGAAGTGCTGTCAACCCTCTGTCTCTGCCTGGGAGATCCCTTTCCTTCCAACCTGTCTTTCCGCTCTGGTTTTGCACAAAAATGTCCGACCTTCACAGCTTGAGATTTGCTGTCCTGTCTGGTAGATGGATACTTCTCACACATTTCCTCATGTCCATTCCTTTCACCATCAGGGCCAGTAAATTGGCCCAGGTGTTCTTTGATCTCCCTTCCCCCGCAAACACACCGAATTTAGGCACACACGGGACCTCCCAGCAAGATTTTTAAACCTTTCATTTTTCCTGAGATTTCTTATAGGAGTTACATCCTTTTTTTATCTGATTTGTGAAGCCCACAATAAACAAAACACTTGCAGAGAGGCTGTGCGCATTTGAAAAAGTTAGTGTGCTTTTTCCACAGTACAGGTTAGAGAACTGTTTGTCACCTGTCACCTTGGATAAATTGACTATGACAGCCAAGAGTGCTGCCCTGAGAAAGATTTTGTGACCACAGCCAAACTCAGCAAGGAAGTGGCAGTGAGCAAGGCCAATATATGGCATTCTACCCTGGGCAACAGAGAGACTCTGCCAAAAAAAAAAAAAAAGAGAGAGAGAGAGAGAAAAGAAGGAAGGGAGGAGGACAAGAAGGGACACACCAGCGCACTGCGCAGATAAAGGAGAGGCCAGAAAGGAAAGACTTGACAGAGTCCCCGCCTCCATACCCTGTTTTACACTGTGGGATAGAGAATGGTCCTGACATTTATTCAGCAAACACTAAGTGCCAGGCACTGTACTTGGCACAAGGGACCCAGGACAGAATACGTGGGCCACCTGGCCATGACCACACACTGTGACAAAGGCTCTAAGACATAAGCCTCCATAAAAAACCTGCTCAAGGGCTGTTTCGGAGGGAGGATAGTTCCATGACCAGGCCTAAGCCAGAAAGACAGTGGCCAGCCAGGAGCCCAGGCTCTGGCAGCAGCAGCAGTTCCAGAAGCCAGGTCAGGCATCAGGAGCCATAACAAGTCACTAGGAGAGTCCAAGCAAGGAAAAGCCACAATCAGAATCGTGTTTTAGATAGAGAACAATTGGTTATGCCCAGGTGAGAGGAATTAGTTCTTTCAAAATGACAGGAAAGTTATTTAAAAAGAAGGAGTATCATCTATGTGATACCACAGGGCAGGTGCACGCTGTTACACATTTGTCCAGACCTACAGAATGTTCGACACCAAGAGTGAACCCTGATGTCAGTGACAGGCTCTGGGTGACTGACAATGATGTGTCAACTGATCTCCATCAATTGCAACAAACACACCACCCCGCTTTGGGGTGCTGATCCCCAGGGAGGCCATGCACGGGGTAGGAGGCAGGGAGGAGAACATGGGAAATCTTCCTGAGCCTGAAACTATGACATCTAAAATTGCTCTAAAGAAAGAAAGTCTTGAAACAAACATACATTAAAAAAAAAAAAGCCACACTGCCCGAGGATGAAGAATGGATGGGGGCTGTGAGGACAAAGCCTAGAGGTGGGCTCGGCACCTGTAGCTCAAGCAGCTAAGGCACCAGCCACATACACCAGAGCTAGCAGGTTCGAATCCAGCTCAGGCCTGCCAAACAACAATGACAACTACAACAAAAAATTGCCGGGCACTGTGGCAGGCACCTGTAGTCCCAGCTACTTGGGGGGCTGAGACAACAGAATCGCTTAAGCTCAGGAGTTGGAGGTTGCTATGAGCTATAATGCTATGGCACTGTACCCAGCATGACTGCTTGAAGCTCTGTCTCAAAAAAAAAAAAAAAAGCCTAGAAGTGAGGAGGGAGGGCTACGTCAGCCCTGCTGAGGCAAACAGAGAATCCTGGGGGGGTAAGGAACAGCTGCGGTTGGACTAGTCCACAGCAGACGAGAGAGGGGAGTAGAGAGGGAAGCTGACCCTCAAGGATGCAGGTGCCTCAGTCAGGTGGACACAAGGAGGAGGAAGAGGAGTACTGTGAATTTCCACTTCCAAATACCTCTTAGAGACAGCAGACTGAGAGTGGCAGAAGGCAGCTGGGCACACAGCCCAGAGCCAAGGAGAGAGAGGGGGTCCATGTCCTGTGCCACTGCAGGAAACCAAGCAGGGTCCATGCCACTCACACACATCTCCACACACTACCTACAAATTGTCCACACCCTGGCCCCTGGTCTGTGCCTCTTCATCATAGCTGAAGTGGCTTCAAGTGATCTGGCTGCCCCCACCCACCTCCCACT